ATTAGTCTAAAGTAAGCTGATTGTGAAAGCAATGTCAGAAGATTCGAAAGTATTGAAGTCCTTTCAAACTACGCATTGCTATAACCGGAGTCATTTAAAAGGAGCCAGAGTTTTCAATTATCCTACGACACATATAATATTCTGTACAATTAACTTCTTTTATTAAGACAAAATACAGTGAGTCATACACTGTTGGAAATTTATCGGAAAAAATGGTTAAATAACGATATATTGAATGGTTATTTTTCCAAATTTGATCGAAACAGTTAAATAACCATAAATAAAATGGTAATCAAACTTTTAAGTTTGAGAAAAACTGTTTATTAACTGCTTTCACCAAATACGGTTAAACAACCAGAATTTTATCGCACCAACTAGAACCACCTAATGAATCTACTCAGTTCTTTTCAACTGCATACATATAATAGCCGAGTGGGATTATCTGTCAATCTCATGACCGGCAGAACTGGAGTTCGAATCCTAGTGTTGACACCACAATATTTAATCCATTTCCTTCAGCACATGAAGAATTTCCAGTGTCCGGCAATCTCCAATGCCCATTACCTTACGAAAATCCGACCTCCTATGTCTAGTTAAATAATTATTTTTCTTACGCTTTTAAAAAATGCTAGTTGTAAACTTTTAAAAATCCGCATAGTTTTGTATTCATGGTTTTTTAACCCTACTGTTTGTAAATGGCTTCAAAACCATAAAAGAAAAAATTGTTCTTTACCGTAAACCTTACGGTTAATCGGATGGACAGACAGCTGCCAGTTATTTTACCATAAGTTTAGAATGAAAATTTTGACAGTGTAGATTGTTATGATATTTAAATACTTTTAAGAAGTGGCTTATCAAATTATATAATGTGATAAATATGTTTCAAAACCATGAAAACTTTAATATGATTAAAACCTCTTTTAAAGAATACTCAAATAAAATTTTATAACATTAGCACAGATTGTAAGTAGCAAACATATCTTGTCCACTCTTGTTAAGTATAAACTGAGTAGACTTCCATCAAAAATAACTTAAGTGCTTTTAGTTAGATTCATACGTTTGATTTTTGGAAGAAAATGATGCTTTGTTTTAAAGTTTAAATAATTATGACGACCCTGGGAGGTCAAACTGTTTCCCGTTTTAAAGCTTTTCGTAATGACGCGTATAATGGAAGAAGGTTCCCAGATTAGTCACGGTTTTAGAGAAGGTCTGCACTTAACATCTTCCATTATCTTTTAATTGAGAGTCTTTCAAGTAAGAAAAGAAAAGTGTTTTAAAAGTATCTTCATATCAACTTCCCTATTCATCGTTTTACGCATCAAAAACATGAAAACTGACATGCGATACAGTTAATAATTTAATGCTTCTAGGATAAACATTTCTTGAAATAAATCCATCAAGTGTAAGCATACGTTTAGAAAAAATATGCATAACTTACAATTAAAATATTTATTATTTACTCAAAACTTCTATTTCTACTGTATACATGGCGAAAAAATTCTGCCAAAATTACCGTTGGACCAGAAATGTACAGTTGCATTTCTGGTTTAACATAAATCTGATAAATTAACCAAAGTATTGTATATTTGAAGCATTTATTTGGTAATTTTCGGTTCATATGGTTAAAGTATACCAGAAATTCTGGTTTACAACATTATAGTTCTGATTACCACACATGCAATTCTGAAAAGTAAATTTAACCAAATAAATTATTTTTGCGCCAAGTTCAGAGGTATCATAATGAAATTGCCACATTTATTAAATTTTAACACATATTTTGAGACAATATTTAATTGTTAATCATTATCAAAGCGTTTTGATAAACATTATCGTGTTCTTCGATGTTTCCATGAAGCTAGAAACAAGGTACAATGTATATATATACATAAAATGTAGTAAAAATCAAGGTTAATTAATAACCGTTTCTTTTGATCTAACCCTTCCCTTTTATTTATAAAGAAACGTGAAATAGTTAACATTTCTTAGTAAATAAATCTATACTATTTTTATTTAATGAGAAAAAAAGTGTTCAGGGATTTAAAGGTGTTTTAATGAAAAATTTATTCAAATCGAAGTTAATTAATTACTCTTTCTTTTTAATAGAATCTAAAATAAGAGAAGGTTTTTGAATGCCACAGCGGGAGAATCTAAATAAGCGAGATACATAACAAGTATCATATTCTCTTTTAAGCAAGCAACAGAAGAAATGCAACAAAATATATTCATGCCTATTACTAATAACTCTTGGTGAGAAACTTTAATAGCCAAGAACAAAATGGAGGAATAAATTTACATTACAATTCTAGGAAAACTTTGATGTTACTTTATTGGCGGTAAATATTGAATTCGCCAATGTTTCACAAAAACTAATTTATTCCAACCTAACTAACGCCATCCAAGAGATGAGAATAACTCAGAGGGAATCCGAGTCTGAACAAAAGATTAATTTCATCCTCTCTTGTAAAATATTTGTTTCAAGTGTTGAAAAGATGACACTCTATAATTTATGCGCATATGGAACCGACTAATTTTCTCTTTTAAATAATCGTGTTATAAAGCAACAACTGTTCAGTTTACCTGAGCTACAAGGAATTAAGATGATATGATAAGACTCATATTACCCATCGATTGTTTGTTTTTAAAACTTAAAGAATTTAAAGTATGCTGCGTTATCGAAAGAAGAGGACTTGATTATCATATTTTAAATTTGCAATTCGGATAAAAAGGGTTAATTAACTTTATTTTTTTAAAATCATTTGCTCTTCGTTTCTTAAAATGTTGTAAGGAGAGTTTTCATATAGCTTCTTAAATGAACTATTATGTTTAGTCTATTTTATAAGAATAAATGTATCAAAAATGTGGTATAGTATAGTTAACGCCTATATGTAGCCAAATCCTTTTCTTTTTTAAATAATTTAACATTAAAGGATCAACACTTCTTGTTCAATTAACTTGAATTTAAAAAGCAGTAAGGCGTGACAAAGTTATATTAAGATTATTGAATTTCAATTTGATCGATTCTTTTTTTAATTCAAAGAACTTAATATTATTTTATCGAAAAAAAGACTAGATTTGGAAAAAGATAGTGTTTAAAATGTAACAAAGTAATCAACATTTCTTTCGAGTTTATGTAGCAAATAAACAGAGAGGCATTTTTGATGATATAGAAAACCCACTATAGGGTATGTTTTGCAAGACATAATGGACACCCATACAAAAACTACATAAGCCACAAGTAAATTGCTTTCAACTACAATTCGATGAAACCATGTATTTATCAATCAAGCCACTTTTTCTCTGATTAGAAGGTAAATATTTGCTCTACTTTTATCCATGTAGTTTTGGTTAGTTAAAGCATCTTTCATAGTTTATTCGGATTCTATAAGTCCATTATCCATTACCAGATTTTCTATTAAGAAATATAAATTGAGATTGGTGGGGTAAAAATATATGATCTATCGCTATGCTTCTGCTCTCATACATATACATAGCATGTTTTTGATCTCTGTGCTAGAGCTAAATAGGAATATTAGGGTGTTTTTCCAACACCCTAACATTCTTTAAACATAAAATTTAGGCTATCTGGCTTTAGGCTCTCTAAATTTAGGCTATTTATTTACATTTGAAAAATGTTGATCTTTGTTCTATAAAATAACAGAGTGTTCACATTAATTTGAAAAAAAGTTTTGAGATAATTGAATATATTTACACAAAAAATATTACATTGTTAGCATGGTTTAGCCAAACAAATAAATAATTTAGTTATAAATTTTCAAAAGCATCTAAAAAGCAAAACTATAAGCTACAGAATGATTGATTTAGATTGATTGGATTACAATTTTTATTGATTTGAAAGTGATTATAAATGATTAATAATTATCTTAATTTCTTCATGACTCAATAATTAGGAAAAACATTTAATATATCCCAACTTTTGTATTGTAAAATTGTATAATGTAAATGATGTATTACTTTACAAACAAAAATTTTTATCACGTGTTTTTATTAGTATGTCTCTCTTCAAATGAATGGAGAATACTAATAATTTTATTCTAGAATTCATAACTTTAAATAAGATAAATACTTTTTATTATCAAGATACTTTAAAAAAAGAAATTAAAATCAAGTTCTGTTTTTTTTTCTTAAATTCCTATATTTAAACACCNCTAATAATTTTATTCTGGAATTCATAATTTTAAATAAGATAAATACTTTTTATTATCAAGATACTTTAAAAAAATTAATTAAAATCAAGCTCTGTTTTTTTTACTTAAATTCATGTATTTAAACAGCTTTATATAGAAATTTCTAACTATGCCAAGCTACCGTAATTCAAGGATACTATCTCATTAACTGTCATCATTCATAAAGATTCTAACCACAAAAAATTAAATGTAACATTTATTACGATGTTTTTCTTATTAATTAGTGCAAGAACCGAAATTTTTATGAAATTATGCTGACAAAAATAACTGTTTGAAGAATATGTTTAAATGGCAGGTTAGACACAGTTAAAGTAAAAAAAAAATTACGAAATTTAAGTAATAGGACATTAAAAAGCTATTTATTAAAAGAACTTTCATAATGCGTGTTGATTACTTGTATTTTATGAGTGTTTCTTATATTCTCGAGCAAAAATCCACGAAAATAATGAATATGATATTGGAATAGGACAAAAATTTTTGTAATTGATACTTGGTAAATCGAATACTAATAAATATTTTTGTAGAAAAATATAGAGTGTTAAAGGAAAACGCGCTTATAAATAAAACAAGTGACGAACAATTCTCGTGAGGATAACGTGATATAAGTTATATTGTTTGTTTATTTTGAGTGATTAAATGTTTTAGCCCTTTGCATAATTATGAAGAAATTTTAAATGCTCACCTACATATGAAGTTTAAATATTTCTTTTTAAAATTAAGTAAACCATTTTTCACGTCATACTGGATATTATCTCTGAAAGTGTCAATAGTTCAAATCAATGAAAAAATACTTACGAAATCTCTCCAAAAGGTGAGAAGGCTTCTCTAAGTTGTTGCGTTTCGATTTCTGGACTAAGATCACCCACAAATATATGATAATGTTCTGAAAAGTAAAATGTTAAAGTTAACATATCTTAAAAGAACAAAACAAAATTGTTCTAGGAAATGAACTCTTTCTTCGACTAATTCTTTTTTTTCTCAATTTGATAGTTTTCCTAGTTTTACTTAATAATTTATATTTTGTCTTTTTTTCAATAATAAATCTAAATAACCAAATTAAGTTGTTTGAGAAACATAAATCTAGAAACTGCCATAATTAATTTCCTTTAACTAACTCAATTATTATAACATGATATGAAAACGTTTTATTGTGGAATAATGAAAAAAACAACAACTTTGAAATATGCTGTAGGTAAAATGCTAAAATATTTCTACATCATCACTATATTATGATTTTATTCATCACTATATTATGTCGGATTTTATTCGTATTCAGCAAAAAAAAATTAATTGAGTGTTTTACACTCTAAAACTTTTTTTGAAAATAAAGTTACGTAATATTTAATATCAAAATGTAAGGACAATACTAAAAATCTGGTGTGGCGAGAGAAGTTTTCCTCTTTTTAAAGGAAATTCAATCTCAGTATTTAAAGCTTATACACTATGCATAAAGAAATCGAAGGAAGATTACATAAAAACTAGCCATACATTATATAGTTCTTTTAAAAACCTAAGTAGTAAAGCAAAAATAAGAAGAAAATATAAGTTCAAATTAGTAAGCATATAAGTTAAAAGCAGACCTCAAATAACTTTGGCTTACTATAGCATTATAACAATTAAAAAAATTCTGCTTTAAAAATTAAATATGTTTTTACCTTTATAGGTAATATAATTATTTTTTTATTCTTAATTATAATTTCTTTATGAATGGCAATCAGGAATTAGTATTATTTGTAGTTCTGATTTAATTCTGATTAAACTTACCTTCTGGATCTACATGATAAAAAGAAAAATGAACTTTAATGATACTTAAATGAACTTTTTTTAGAAATAGTTTTAAAAATATTTTCTTATATTTAGTATTTATTCCGCTTAAAAAAATAGTTATTATTGTTAATAAAAAATAAAAAATTAACTAAATTTTAATTATTACAAATCATCCTCAAAAGGTGTAAAAATTCTTTATGTTAATTAAATTAGTTTTCCAGTGGTTCGGAATAGACATTGGTTTCAGATCCAAAACAGTCCACGCATAGTCAGATCTAAATTCTAATCGTGTAACTCACCAGTCGGTTTATTATTACGGTTGAATTCCAGATCGATGGAAATTGCCCGTAGAGTCAACCAAGCTACACTGAAAAAACTCGGTAAACCATTAACCAGTATTTGGTGCAAAGTATCTTCTGGAGTCAAAGTCAAACGAAAGATCATTTTATTTTTGTTACACCATAAATTGTGAAGTATGATCGAGAAATATTTCCACGGTGCAACTGACTGCACCAAATTTTGGTAAAAGACACAAAACTTTGACTGTGACTTTAAACTAAACGATATTTGTTTACGACGACATGTTACGACGACAACTCGGTCTCTCTGTATCGCGGCGACTAATGCATGTTGTATCAATTTTGTTGTATCGATTGTTGTATCAATTCGCATGAATTAAAATTCATTTCTTTTATGTTGCCTTTTTAAATTTCGTTAGTGGTATAAAATTGTTAGAGGTATGTCATAAAATAATTTCTTACGGTAAATAGCTATATCCTGGTCTGTATTTCAGCGGTATAAAAATACATATTGATGGTGCAACTTTCCTCTACTTTTATAAAAGGACAAAAAAAGAAAGAATGAAAATAGGTGTTTTGTTTCTCCAAAACACTTACGTTTGGTGCAATCGTCTACCGATATTTGAAGCAAGTAAAAATACCAAAATATGGTAACATTGAGCTCCATTTTGTGTAGCCAGTAAATAAATATTAATTTTTGATGAAACGTGCCTCGGAATTTTTAACAGTGTACATGATCCGGGAGTTTTCTGGATTTGGTTTAAAATTACAATTAAAACTATAAATAGTTGAGCATTCGTTAACTTTTCATAGTCAAAAATAAAATAAAATTGAACTGACAACATGACGGTGTCAATTACATTATTAAGGAAAAAATGTTTTTTCAGCTGATAAAATATAATTTAATGAACAACCAAATATATTTTTTGTCATTGAGTGAAATAGAAAGCGGCATTTATTGCGGAAATTGTATGCGGCTGTTGGAAGAATTCAGATTACCGTCATTTTATTAGAAAATAATGTATTCATAAGCGGACAACACTTCATGCATAAATAATAATACATTCAAACGAGTACCGCATTAATTCTTTATGTTAGCCCACTAATGCGTATTGTCTAATACAATCAGCCGCGATAGGTAACACTTCTTTATGAATATTTAACACTCATTATTCGTTCCTTAGACGTAACAAAGGATAACTCGGATGTATTTATTGTACTTCATATTTCTAAATGGAATTTACATATTCCTTCTCATGAGATGAATGTTGAGGGTTTCGATATAGAAAGATTCCAAAAATTTGAATACTCGATTCGATCATTCAACTGCATAATTAAGAGTTGCTAATATATATATATNATATATATATATAGTGAGAGAGAGGAGAGAGAACATAATGTTTTTCTTTAGATTTGTAAGTCAATATAATGTCAATATAATATCAATATACTTAGATAATGTCATGATAAATTGTAATAAATTCATTCGATTTTCAACAACATTAATGTTAAAACATTAAATTAAATCTTTTCTGTTTACTAGTTCTATAATCGTTTACAAAAAGTTATGGATTTATGCAATTAGCTGTTGAGATAGGACATAAAAATGGAGATGCTGTTATTTGTCTCGCAAAATTGATAAATATGATTGATATTTGGCCAAGCAGTATACTTTTCTCTGTACTATTTGTGTTAAATTTCCAAAATTATCTTCTTTATTTGATGATTCTCAATATAAACTAATTAAAATATTTTATAGTTATTACAGATAAGACTTTGTTAGTTTAATTAGTACTTTCATCAATCAAATAGCATACATTTAATAAATATTTAGAAATTTGAGGAAGGAATTTATGTTCTAAAATTGAATTACTATATCTTTCGGGGTGATTAGTACTTTTTTTTTGTATTCAAAACAGAAATTATTAATTATGTTCTTCTAAATTAAGAATTGTACACTTTATTGAGAGTTGTATATTTTAAGAATTATCAGAAGAGTAAATGAATCTTTCTAAGATTATGCCCAAGATATAGATAATCATGGAGCCCATTTACGAAGATCCCTAAGTACAGAGCATCTTTCTTCATAATCTTATTGAGGTGCACAAAACCATCAGCTTTAATCTTTCATTGTGATGATATGAGTTCCGTGCACTCTCCTTCAATTATTTCTTCTATATCTCAGTTCTACCGATCAATTTTATAGGTACATTTTGTTTCCTTTACACTGTTAGAAATTGATTGAAAAATATGGCTAAATAACAATCTATTTAATTGTTATTTTGCCATATTTAAACAAAACAGTCAACTAACCATAAATAAGATGGTAATGAAACTAACTGATGGTGAGAAAAATCGTTTAATATTTTTACCTAAAATGGTTAAATAACAAGAATTTTATTGCACTAATTAAGCCCACCTAAAGAAGCAACTTAGTTACTTCCAACTGCGTCCATATTGTAGCTGGAAGAGTTAATCTGTCAATCTCATGACCGACAGAACGGGGGTTCGAATCCCAGTGACACATCCATTCCCTTTAACACATATGAAGAATTTCCGGTGTCCTACTCTTTCCAATACCCATTATATAACGAGAAACTTAGCTCCGATGCCCAGTTAAATTTGTTTTTTAACAGTTTTGAAACCATGGTAGCTGTAAATGTTTAAAAAACCGTATTGTTTTGCGTTCATTTTAATGTCATACTAGTTATAAACTAAACATAGTTTCAAAAACGTAAAGGAGAAAAATATTCTTTACCGTTAACTTTTCGGTTAATCGGATGGACAGACTGCTGTCGGTTATTTTACCATTATTTTAGAATGAAAATTCAGACAGTGCAGAATAAGGAAAATTTATTTAAAAAAAATTGTGACGTTTAATAATTAATGACTACATGAAAATATCTAAGATAAAACTTTTAATAAACTATAATCCAAGTTTCTGCAATGAAATTATGTTAAACTTTGAATAGATATTGATATATTTAAACATAACATATCATAAAATACATATATTAATACATTATTGTATTTGAAAATAGGAAATGAATCAATTTTAGAAAGAAAAAAAAATCTCACATCTATATAAATTAGTAAAAGAAGTGTGTTAAAAGAAGTAAATTTGTACAGGTTATAGGCAAAAAGGCTTCAGATGGCAGGAGTAACGACAGTAAACATTTTTAAATTGCTACCACCGTAGAGATTCCAAGTCACTAAATATATCTGGTTTTCTTGTTTAAAAATGTATTGCTGAAGATATTACTACTTTTGGTTTCATTCTTAGGTTTGATACATAATTTTGCAAAAAAATATGTTAATTGGATATTTGATGATTCGAGACAATAAAATGGTTGGAAATATAATACGTTACACTATGCCTATAAAATAATATTAATTGATATTTGTCCAATTAAAATTTTCAAATACTCTTTGTTTAGCACGTTCACTCCTGGAAGAGTGAAAATCCTGGTACGGGAAACGAGATAATACTGGTAGATAATATTCGGGAGGAGTTAATCTATTCTCAACAATAACAATTCACTATAAGGAAATTTATCAGGCGAAGAAGCAATCCAATATAAAAATTGCATCCGTTAAAAACAATTGGTAGTTATGGATTTTTATTATTCCTGGAAAAAAAACTAAAAAATGAAATTTATTGTTACCAGTTTTTACTCCGGTGCGCTGCCAAGATGAGACAATCTAGCGTGACCCATTGGTGGGTCACCCCAGCGTGAACGTGTTAAAGTTTCTTAAAATTCATTATGAATTTAAGGTATAAATAAGCATTTGAGGAAATTGGTTAATAAACTAATAA